TGTGTGTGTGTGTGTGTGTGTGTGTGTGTGTGTGTGTGTGTGTGTGTGTGTGTGTGTGTGTGTTTGTGTAAAATCAATCTCTCTTGTGTTGTGTCACTGCGTTATCCTCTGTTGGATATGTGCTTGTGTTTATGCAAGGATATGAGAGAGAAAGAGGGAAAATAGGTGGAACAATAAATGGCCCACAACATACTTTGAGCTCCATAAATAACTGGATATTCACATCTGTCTTTCATTGGAGGGAATGAGGTGTTAGTGTGCAGTCATAACCGTTTCTAGAGCAGAATGTTGTTCTCTGACCCGTTCATGTGTATCCAGTCAGGCATCGTCAAATTTACAGCTGTTTAAATGACTTCAAAAGGTCAACATCTAGTTCTTCCTTCAAAATACCCCACCACATGTATTTCAGACAGGAAGAGAAGGATAGGAAAGAAAATAACAAATGAGGTCTCTTAAAATGTGAAGTGTAGAATTGGTGTGTCAGCAAACAGAAATACAAAAATAATGCTTCCAGAACACCGCTGTCTGCCATTGGTCTAGAAAACAGATAGCCCCGCTTCAAACTCATGCCATTGGTTAAGCCAGTGTTGCTATGGCTATGCAAAAGCTGTTTTAAAAAAGTAGGCAACTTAATTACACAGCCTCCTAAGGTACATCATTTTGCCCAAATACCAGAATCCATTGCAGTCACCTTAGTAAATCCTACAGCCGATAAATATTTTGATTGAAATTTTGATGTTAAATAACAAAAACAACATGCAAACACCAAACCCTATTGGAATCGGTTGTGAATTGTGAGTATCCTTCCAGAATACTGCTTTAAGGTGTGGCAAAAAAGTTAAATTTCTGTTAGTCAATGCAACAAATCCACGTGAGCAGCTTGAACAACTTTAAAATGTTTCATCCTCACCAGATTAGGTGGATTACTGTTGAAATTACTAGAATTTGCTCATGAGAACTCACCTGACAATGGTAAACGTGAAGGTGTCTTAAGAAAGCTGCTGTCTGTATAGACAAGGACCCTGTATGCCAGCCTTTAGTCTCATTTATTTTTATTTTCAAGACAAAATCAATACTTAAATGAAACTCGGAACACCATAAAGTCTCCTGAGTTCTGAAAGAGCAACCTCTAAGAGATAAAATGTTCCACTGTGTGTGCTGAAGGATGTGAAACAGGACTGTGCATACAAAAGCTGGGTAAAGATTTTTTGCACTGCGTCTTTCATCTCTGGTCAGTCAATTGCCTTGTCCATTAGTCTTCAACCATTCCAGTATATCTGTGTGTTTGTGTGAGTGAGAGTATTTACCTTTTTTGTCTGTGTTGATCCCAGGTCAATTAGCTGCTCATTTCCAGGTGTTTATCTGCATGTGTTTCAGTTTCTGAGGTGCGTTTTAATCCAGACTGAGGTGTTTATCCCTTGTCAAGGTAGAGGAGCGTCCGTGTGTGCTTATGAGTTTATCCTGTGTCCATGCGCACACTTCAAACATGAGGATTTAACTTGAGTCAGACTCTCAATTCTACTCGTATCTGGGATATGCACTTGGATATGCTCTTCCCTTGTTAAAATGTTCCTGCTATGAAACATTTTGGCCTTGGGGCCTACCAGCAATTTCACATTTCCACTGATGGCATTTTAAGATTCTCACCATATTCTTCCACCTTTGACTCTTTCCAGCTGTTTTTCCCTCTATTTTCCAGGATCCTGCTGTTTTTATCTTCCTCTCACCTTATATTCCTGCTCCTTTTCATCCACCTGCCATGTTCATGTGCTCATTTTCCCCTTTAACACCTTCTCATCTCACTCTCTCTCATTATGTCAGTCTGTTTATTCCTTATTCCAGATGTGCACCTTGTTTGTGTTCTCCTCCAAATTGCTCTGATTGTTGTTTTCATGCACTCGCCTCGTCAGTTGTTTGTTCCATTCGTCTTTCAGTGTCGAAATCCAGTGAGCTGCCAGTTCTGAGGCCTTTGTGTCTCACAGCAAAACAACGTCTCAAGCACAGAGAAAAACGGGATGATGGAAAGGAGGGATGACTGAATGTGGAAGATGAGTATGGAATGAGGAAGGAAGAACAAAACAATTAATTTCAAGATATACAGAGATACTGAAACTGATACCCAGAAGATGGGACTTATTTGAACATTTGTTTGTTAAATGAGTTATAGTTCATTGTTGTCACAGGTATTTGTTCTAAATTTCCAGGGTAGAAATACAAATATTAACAAATGAGGCAATTGTTGATTGAACACAGATAAGAACACATAACAATAAAATAAATATAGAAATACAAATAAATATGATATATTTAATCAAGATATATTTCATTAAATTAAAATGGTAAATAAATACAAATTATACATAATTAAAAATATATATATTTAAATAAATATGATTTTGAAGATCTCTTGGTATCATGCCATTCTGAGATCTATTCTGATGCGAATATCAGATTACTGGGGTCTTTCGCAGGAGGAAAAATCTGAGAAGCAGGAGACCTCAGCTCCATTTGCTTTTAACTTGCCATCAAGGAGAAATGATTGAGATATTAACAAGATCTCATTTGGGATTTTTCCTTCCTATCCAGTGGACAGAGATAATATTTAAATACATGCTTCTTCTGATGTCATCGAGGACTGCCACTGAAATGCACGGAGTCCAGTACTAAATGGGCCAACTGTCCATTGGGCTAAATGATTAGGACCCTAGTAGCCCCCCCATCACAGGGCTCAGGACATCCCCCTCCCAGCCCTGGACACCATCCCTGATGTCATCTCTCCATTTTGCACTTCTAAAAAAATTCCTCTAGACTGCATCTCTCCTCTTGTTTAGTCATCTCTGTCTCTCACTGTTTTCCATGTTTTCTCAACTCGTCTGATTGCAAAAAACATTGATCCCTCTTGGAAATGTCACTAAAGTGTTTTCTTGTAATTTTGTCTCTCACCTTCTCTCTCTCTGCTCCATCTCTATCACACACACACACACATCTCTAGTTATTTTTGTGTCCTCTTCAGCTTGTCATTCATCTTGAGCGTGTCGTGTGTGTGGGTGTGTGTGTGTGTGTGTGTGTGTGTGTGTGTGTGCGTGCGTGTGTGTGTGCTCGTCAAGAGAATCATTGAATGTTTTTTAATCTGGGGGTGTGGTGACAGTGACAGACTGTGACTACTAGTTAATGTGCGTGCGTGCGTGCGTGCGTGCGTGCGTGCGTGCGTGCGTGCGTGCGTGCGTGTGTGTGTGTGTGAGAGAGAGAGGAGTTAAGCAGCTGTCTTATATGGTATCAGGCATGTCCCCATGCAGACTGACAAGCTTTCAACTAAGCATCATCTCTCTGTCTCATCATCCCTTTCTCTTGTTTTTATATGCCTTATCAGAAATGTATTGTTCCTCTTTACTCTCATTATCCATTTTGAAATCCATCATTGAAATGACACACACATACACACGCAAACGCGTCCCCACAAACCTGCTTTTCCAGCATTTCCAGTCGAGTAGTCCTGCAGGAAACGGCGATCCGACTCCTGGCTTCCTCAAAAGCGAAACAAGACCCTCTTTCTCTCTCTTTCGGACTCCAGTCCTCTTCCCTCCCTCTCTTGATCTCTCTCTCTCTCCGTCTAACACTCCCTCGTTCTCACCAGCTGTGTGCCACTGAATCTCTTCAGAGGACAAACTCCTCTTTTTTCATCCCTCTTTCTTTCTCTCCTGCCACAGCTGATTGAAATTTAAGTCATTTTTAATCCTGTCGGTCAGGTATCCGGGGAACAACAGAACAGAAAAAGAAAAATTAGAGCGAACGTGAGAGGAAAAATGATAGATCTTTTGTACTGCTAGATATTTTTAGCAGTGCCCCTGCATACTTCTCTCATTTGCTTCTACTGTAGTTCAGATTTTCTCGGGTTTCTACTCATTTTTTTCTTCTTTCACAAGCAGCTGAGATGTTTGCGCGAGCGACTAAGGAGCGAGTGTTGACTACACACACTGATACTGGAGAGAGAGAGTGAGGGAGGGGGCTAAAAAACAGAGAGAGAGAGAAAGCGAGAGAGAGAGATGGACAGCCTCCAGCAGTATTGGCTGAGTGTGATGGTTGGGGTAGCGAGGGAGCGATATAGGAAGAGATGATAGAGAAGCAGAAGGAAGAGCTAAGTATGGAGAAATGGATGGAAGAGAGTGATATGGAGAGGAAGGAGATAAAGATGTACATCAAACGCAGAGAGGATTGATATAGCCTTTACTGCTACCTGATGTTAATAAAATATTTTCACTCCCAAACACTCTTATAATGTTTAACATTGTTTATACATGACATATACAACAAGACATAATGTAATATTAATGCTAATATTGCAACTCATTTTGTGTTTGAATGTATGTGGCTGTTTTATATGCATACATACATACTATATGTGTTTGTTTTGCCTACATTGTAAATATCTAAATGTCCCTGGAAAAGATCAAATCACCTGAAAATCATGTGCATAAAATGGTCCCCATGAGGAAATCAGCTTAATACACTAAATTAGGTCATTTTGTAATTCCTGTTTCTGTGACGGTTCGATTTAGAAGATAGGAAATATCATTAACTCCGTTTAAAAATAATAGCAGTCAATGGAAGTCTCCATCATGAAAACAAACATATGTGATATTTGTATATCTGAGAATTAGAAGGAAACAGAGGGAGAAGAATGTGTGTGTGTGTGTGTGTGTGTGTGTGTGTGATTTATCTAGCTTTACGATCACTGGGAACCTCTCTCCATCTCTGCCTGCTATATTTGTCTTGTCTTATTAGTTATTATTGGAATAGATGAGTTATGAACAGCCTTCGAATTTACCCAGTTAAAGGCAAACACTCACCGAGTAATGAGAGAGAGAAAGAGAGGGAGAGAATATGTAATGGTGTTATCTTAAGAGAGAGTTTTATATTTTCATTGGTATCATTTTTCATTTTAAAAAACATTTCACAATATCTGTTGGCTGGTTTATTTCCATAATGATATTGAAAATGGTGGCCACGTTCTAGCAAGCACAAACCAATACCGCACAACACTCAAACACATTTACACACACATGCCACTAAAAACAGACTCACACGTCAACAACACATCAACACTCCAGACTAATAATAAATATACAACATCCATGCAACCATCCCAGGAAAGCAGCTTGTGCAGGTATGCATAATGTGTGTTTATTGTGTATGAGGTTTCTTAGAAATGAAGACTATTCAGATGTGACGCACCTCATTTGTTCAGTTGATTAGAGAATGCAGTGGAGTGTAACACTACTGAAAACCAGCACTCCTTCCACATCTTTGTCCTCATTGTTACACTTGTTTTTCTTATATAGATATATAGTGGGCAGGTGGATTAATCTGACAATATTTAGATTACATGATATTGTCTGCATTAGCCAATAAACTGTGTCTAATGAACAGAAGAGTTACTTCAACATATTTTGTGTCTGAAGTAATTTCATTAAAGCTGCAGTATAAAAGATTATATGGTTAAAAATTAACAAAAAAAAATCAATTATTGAGGAAGTACATAAAAAATTAGTGTTCAGAACTCGCCTTGTGCCTACTTGCCTTACCCTGATTCACAATGGTAAGCTTATAATAATAATTTTTCAAGCTGTCAGTCTGATTTTATGGGAAATGTCAATTTTACATCATTCATCTTCGATTAGCTATGTCCTTAATATACAACCATAAATAAAGAGAATTGCTTCAGTGTCCCCGTAATTCAAAAGGCTTATAATATAATTCAGAATGAGTTTTTTTGAAAATCTAAAAATGCAGAAAGTTTCCTGTGAGGGGTAGGTTTAGGGGTAGGGTTGGTGTAGGGCAATAGAAAATACGGTTTGTATAGTATAAAAACCATTACGCCTATGGAGAGTCCCCATAAACCATAAAAACAAACCTGTGTGAGTGTGTGTGTGTGTGTGTGTGTGTGTCTGTGTCTGTGTCTGTGTCTGTGTGTGTGCAATGCAAGGTGTGCTAATTCTGACATCTTGTATCCATAACTATTAGAGCAACATTATTAACACAATGAATCGTTCAAAAAGACAACCAAGTCAAAACAACAGTGTAGGAAATGTACCTGTTTAAAAGCATTAGATGGCTTTAAAATGAAAAGGCAGAGATGAGTGTACACAATTAAACATCCAGTAACAACCAAAATCAATAAAATAATATAATAATAAAACAAAATCCCTAATATCAGCTAATGACTGATATGGTATTGCTATATGGTGCATCCCTAACGATGTCTTCATCTACTGCAAAGACATTTATGCATTTGTAAAAGTGGCTTAATTAAGTGTCCTAATAATGTTGGAGCGGCTGTATTGGGTTTTGTATTAAGCCATTGAAAAACCCATATTATTCAGCTAATATTTATTTTCACACTATGCAGAAGGGCCTCCACCCCCACCCTACTGAACGCATCTGAGTCTGTCTGTGTGAGAGAGCAATGTGTGTGTTTTGTGTTCTTCTATATTTAGTTCCTCCCCCATCCTCGCACACGTTTAGTCATAGCACATTTACACTAGGGCTGTCAAAATGGCTGAAAAACTAAAATCGAATTTTGTACTTAAATATTATCAAAATTTGAATTATATTCTAATTTAAAATGCATAATTTTAGTTATGGTGAAGAATAGCTTTTGGCTTCTCCTCTGAGGCCACAAGAGGGTGCATTGAGCAAAATATTACTAATGCACGTTTATTCAAAGCATAAGATAACGACTATCTGTGAAAAAAAGTGCATAATGTTTAAAATAATGTTTATAAACCAATTATAATTAATTAAGTTGCTTAAACAACTATAAACAAAACAGCATCATGTATGTATGCATAGTTTAATACAAAGGGCGGAAAGCCAATCGCACAAAGTACATTTTTCATTTAAAAACATGAGATGCAGTGGGATGGGGAAAAAACCCACCATAAAGTCTCGATATATGTTTTTTCCAAAGTTAAACTGGCATTAATTTTACATGGCTTTCTAAACATGCGGCTCCTTTGTGCGAGATGCGAGTGCAACGGTGATAGATGACCCTCTAGAAAATGTGCGAAATATGTGTTCTGTGTGAACGGCTTGGTTTCAGTTTTGATGTAAACAAGATCTTCTCCGCATTGATGTTCTCTTTTTCCGCAATATTGTTAATGAACAACACAGCAGCTCCGCATCTAGTGGCTTCACTATTTTTTCATGGGAGCTGCACTGATAGGGCAAAGTCAATCGGAGAACCACTTTTACTGCGACGTATCAAAAGTTACATCCAGTCATAAATAGCATCCAGTCACAAACAGTCTTTTTATCAATCTGTCATACCTGATATGCAATGCAATACAAAAGGGGCTATCATTCTTTATCATTTACCAGTCAAATTTGTAACTGAGACCAGATGATTTCAAAAAAAGTAGGATTACCTTAATGCTGGAAAAACCTTGTTATTTAATTTTTTTATACTAGCCCATCATGTATCTAACCATCCAAGTGCACATTCGGCGTTAAGAGCTGTTAAGATTAAATCTGGCAACTCCGCAGTGAGTCAGGAGTGTCATGGACGTAGGACAGAGCAAGTGTAAATATAATTTTTAGTCTATATTTCCATCTGGTAATGCCGCTGTTTTAGGTATTTTTTTTTTTATATAAATTATTTGTAATAGAGCAGACACTGTCTGACCGTGTCTACACCGAACGCGACAGTTGTCGTGCCGCGCCCCGCTGCGCTAAAAGTCTGTCTACACTTGATGCGACAAAGCAACAGTTGCAAATCATCTGAACGTAGTGTCAGTACAGTTCGTCATAAATAGAACGAGGCATCAGTTTACTGATGGGGATCACGTCGCATCGCGCCGCATTCAGTGTAGACAACATCACTGGGTTCTATTGTCTTTTGTCGGATCGCGCCACTCGCGTCCGGTGTAGACATGTTGTGAGTTTTTTTAATGGGTTATGCTATAGCCCTGCTTGTTTTGAATGTTTTTATGAAATATCTGTATTGACTGCATGATCATATCATCGTATTATTTAATGCCATGCGAGCCACAAAGTAAAGCTTGGCGAACCACGCAATGAGTAACTGGGATAGGTTAACAAGAACATTATGTAATGCCAGGCCAGCAGAGGGAGCCCTCGCCCGAGTCTGACGGACTCTCCCACTCCCCCCTCCCAAATACACACACACAGTCACTTTAATCAGTCTAAATAAGCTCTTTTTGCACTACAAATCATTATATCTGCACTGTTGTTTACTTCACTGGTTTGCACTCTATCTGCCGTGTGCTGCTTTATATATATATATTTTTTTTATATATTTTTTTTTACATTTTACCTTATTTGTATAGTTGTAATTTATATTTAATCTGTATATCTGTATTTATGTTCTACTGTTAGTGTTATCTGTATGCACAAAGGGTCTGAGAGTAACGCAATTTCAATTCTCTGTGTGTATGTGCTGTACATGTGGAAGAATTGACAATAAAGCAGACTTGACTTGACTTGACTTGACTTCTGATTATTGGATTTTCCCTCTGTTTTGGCTGCCGATTGGACTGATTGACTGTGTTTAGACTACTGCCTTTTTCTGACACTGATCCTGGATTTCCCTCTAAATAAACTTCTGCATATGGATTCTCACTCGGCTTCAGCCTCCTCGTTACACATTATAATGTAACGACACTTACATCGTCATCGCATCTCGTGCGCCACTGATAAGGCTGCCTCCTTAACGCACACCTAAAATTCGAATGCAACGTTTTTGCATTCGAATGTGGATTTTTATTTTAAATTCGACAAATATTCGAAATTCAAATTTTTTTTCACAGCCCTAATTCACACCATTGCCATAACAAATATGAATCAAAAATGAAGACAGTTAATCACAGAGACAGTGCCATGCTTACCATCAAACTCTTGCTTGTTTTGTCTCGTGCACACAAACTCTGTTCAGCACCACGGACAGCGCATTGCAGAAATGCAGCGTTTGCTTTGCACTGAAAGTTTGTGGCATTGGCTAATGTTGTTGTCTGCTTACCATCTCTGTTAATATGCTTTTGCAGTTTAGTCGAAAGAGAGAGAGAGACAGATGGATGGATGGAACGATGGATTACTTGACAGGCCTCTATTCATGCACTAATGGCTTCACACATTCAGGAAGAATGTGTATGTGTGTTTTGGTTGTGCATATTTTTTTTTCAAGAATCATGTTTGTTTTTGAACAGATGTCAATTACGCTGACAGGACTATACTTTGCTTTGTCACACCCCCCTAGACAGACAAATAAAGGCCTTTCATTAAACTGTCTCAGACCTTTATTCTGCATAGAATTGAGCGAATTCATGGTAATTTGTTTATTTGTTTGTATGTGTGTGATGTTCTTTGTGCAAATAAACAGATTGTGGACAGTCACAGACCTGTTTGAAATAGGCACATTTTGCCCCAGAGCTGTTTGAAAGTTTGAAGTGCTTAACAAATATTCAGTTTATCTAACATTTAGTGTGAGAGAGAGAGAGAGAGAGAGAGTTTGTATAAGATGGGGTCAGATCTGTCTTTGATGTTGCTCAATTTGTTATTTTTCTCTCTAATATCAGTTGGTTTTTGGCTTTGGTTCCTCAACACAGAACAGATGGACAGCTGGAAATAATGGACTTCAGCAAGTTGTGAGACATCTCTAGAATTTCTTAATTCTCTGGAGATTATAACATGTGCTCAAGTTTTCTTTCTAATTATTAGAATATATCTTTAATTGCATACACTTACATACATATGCACAGGCTCCATCATAAAAAAAAGTAATCCATATGAATTGAGTGGTTTAATCCAATCTTCTGAAGAGACATGTTTGCTTTCTGTGATGATTTTTTTCCCTCACATATAAACACTGATCAGTGCACATATATCAAAACATTAAATACGGAAGCTCATGCATGTTCAAACATTTGGAAGAACCAATGAGGTTGTTTTCAATAGTGTTGCGTTTTCGTGTTTACCATATTTGATGAGCTCTGTGTGCAGTATCTGCATTAGTCAATGTTTAGTGCTCAGTTGGTTTTTATGCATTTTAATTGAGTTAAACTGAACAGAACTGAATGGCAGTGAATCAGTTATCTGGAATAATAAGTCAAATTGATTCAAACTGAACTGAACTCAGCTGAGTTGAATCAAACAAAATGTAACCAATGCTCAGGAATAAAGAGTTGAACCATACTGAATTGAATAAAAACTGATAAGAATAAGCTGAATTGAGTCAAACCGAAATTACGGAATCAAAGACCAGGAATAATAAGTTAATTCAATCAAGGGTAATGAGGCGAACTGAGTCATGTTGAACCAAACTGTATGATCAGAAATAATCAGTTGAATCAAACTTAATTCAGGTGAATGTACTGGAATAAAATCAAGGAGCAAAAATAATGAAGACCAAGAAGCATAGAGAAATGAGAGGCTTCTCTATCAAAAGACGGAAATTATTAAACAAAAAAACAATTTGAGAGAAATAGAGAGATAAGACCGCTGTGAAAGCTGATCTGTTAAATGAGGCCAAAAAAGCAAAGACAGAGGCTAAATTTGACCCTGCAGGGCTTGACAGGAGTGAACGACAGCCAAATTAGAGCAAGAATAACATGAAAAGAAAGACATTTTTTTGCTTTATCTCAACCAAACTATTCTCTTCTGCAACATACATGTACAGGACCAGTAAAACTGATTTTCTGATTTCTTCTCTCATCCAGGACTTTTCGGATCTTTCCTTAGCACTTCATCTGTGTTCTCTCAAACTGTTATTTTCATAACTGTTCATCACTCATCACATTAGATCCAAGCAGCAGAGGAATAGGAGGGAAAACTGCATTAAATCCTCCATTAACTCCTCAGCTTCCATTGGAATCCTCTTGAGAAATCCCCTATTTTCTCTCTAGTTTTGCTTAGTAATTGGGTTTTGATCCCTTTGTAGAACACAGTGTGTGACGTATGTGAGTTTAGGGCATCCCTGTGTGTGTTTGCAGGAATACTGGCAACATAGTAGAGACAAATTGTCAGTCAGTGTAGTCAGCTCTGAAAGGGATTTAATTCAGATCTAACATCATTGCTCTTTTTACCACAAGATCTTTTTTTATATTCTTACTTTGACATCATCTTCTGTCTCTCCTGTAGTCCCTTTACACTCTCTAGATCTCTTTCTGTACTGTATGTCACATAAAAATACACACAAACCCCCATCTCTTTTCTGCACTTGCTTTGCACTTGTTTCTTTCTGTCATACGACACATTCCTGTCTCATGCCCCATTGCGTACGCTAAAACAGTGTTTATTGGTGCAGTGAGCAGTATGCACTGCTGTTTTGATAGCTGCAGTCTAGGGGCCTATTCCAGTGCAGGAGCTCTGTTATGGCCTGAACTGCAGCTGTCTGAAACGCTAATGCATTTATAGACACCATCAGCAAAGAACCGAGTGCTTTCAGACAATACAGATTACAATGCAAACTTCCCACGGCCTATGAGAGTACTAAACAATGCTGCCAATGAAGTGGACAATTATGGACCCCGGTTGATCTTGATGCTTTGTTCTTCGTTATAGCATCACAATAATGTGTTGCTTTGTATCTGTTTGTTTATTTGTTTTCATAAATGGTGTTTGTTAAGGAAAATATAATGATTTATATATTTATATATCATTTATATATTGAGATACTTAGGATTAGATGGATAAAATAATAAAACAGGATAAAAAAATCATGGAGGACCACTGTCCTGGAAATCTAACCAAAGTCTTCAGGATTACTTGGATTACAGGCATATGTATTTGATTAGGGATGAAACTAAACTCTACAGGACCAGAATTGCCCATCCCTGCTCTAAAGCCACTCAGCACAACTTAGTGACTATATAGCAACACACTAGCAACCACATAACCACATTGTAAAACCACTCAGAACAACTTAATGACTGTATAGAAACACCATAGCAACTGCATAATTGCACTCAGAACATCTTAGCAACATAGCAATTGCCAGTTTTGCAAATGCAAGGACTACTCACATTTTTCCTCGGATAATTAATATTTGGAATTTACAATAACTTGGTCTATTTCCTAATGCCATACAAATATTGAATGATTGCATGTGTTGTGACCTGTCAGTTGATTATCTAAATATCTCTCTCTTTCTTTCAGACTAATATCCCCTTCCTGCAGAATGTATTGAGCAATAGCCAGTTCCTGTACGCCACAGTTGACACCCAGTTTATTGATGAGAACCAAGAACTTTTCAACCTCAAACCTACACAGAACAGAGCCCAGAAACTCCTGCACTATCTGGGTCAGTGTGTGTGTGTGTGTGTGTGTGTGTGTGTGTGTGTGTGTGCGTGTGTGCGTGTGCATTCATCATTGTTTCGCACCTGTGATAGCCTAAAAAGTATGTGAGTGCATTTGTTTAAACATCTGCTGTTTTTCTCCACAGGTCACATAATGGTAAATGGACCCATGACTCCTATTCCAGTGAAAGCCAAATCCTCATCTGTTGATCCAGTTGTTCCTTCTGTTTCTCTGGGTATGACACACACACACACACACATACTATTTTGAAACTCTAGGTTACAAATGATTCTTTATAGTTCAAAATTTGCTTGTTTCTGTAAATGTTGCACTGTATCTAAATAGGTCAACTCTTAAAAAAATGTAGTTGAAGGGAAAATTTTGTCACCATTTAGTTACCCTAAATTTGTTCCATTAAACACCATGAAGGAAAAGTTTTAAAGAATGTTCCGGTCCAACTAATCTCATGAGAAAATGTAACTATTTTAAGAGTTGCTGATTTGATATTAATTCATGCTATCTGATTCGTACAAAAACAAAACAAAAAAATACACATGAAGGTCCAAACCAAAAACCTCAGTGGGACGTAAGCAGATTGTACAACAACATACAAATGAGATCGTGCAAATTCATAAGTATCCGTAACCAATTCTGCAAAACGTAGAACAGTTACAAATTGTCATTAGAGTGAGTGTGTTGCCTGCGCATGTTTTTACATTGCATTTACAATGCATGAAGAGTGGAGATTTTAAAGGGGTCATCGGATGCGACATGCACTTTTCCTGATGGTATAATGATGTGGGAGAAAACGCTGCAGGGCAGGAAGTACATGAATATTCTTATAAGTAAGATTTCAGATACATGTCCTTAAAAAAAAAACACGAGTTTCCATCACTTTGTTCCCTACAGATCCACTTTATCTCAGCAGATTAGAGAACACAATTTTAAATGTCAGATAAAGTCATATGCATAAAATGATTGACTGCAATATGCAAACATACACAGGCATTATAATAATCTGCTAGTGAAAGCAGAAGGGAAACATACGTCTTAAAATGTATTAAGTAGATTCTAATGGTAGCTGCAAAATTATTTAAATATAACAATTCTAAAATACTTTTTTTGTGTCATTTATTATTAAAGGGGTCATCGGATTCTACATGCACTTTTACAAGTTGTTTGAACTGAAATGTGTGTTGGCAGTGTGTGTACACAACCACCCTATAATGAAAAAAGATCCACCCAGTGTTTTTTTATTTTTATCTCATTAAATCATTTCCCCTTTCTCAAATCGAGCTGATCTCAGATGGCGTCACACAGACAGGCCACTCCCACGATAGTTTGATTGACAGTAGCGTTTCAGCACAGACTGGACTGGCGTCTTACCTCAGACCCGCCCTGAGTGAGCTGTCATCAGTCCGCCATTGTTTCACCGC